ACCTACTTAATTAGCTCGCTTAATTGATTAAGAGCAAGGGGCAAATCTAATCTTATACGTTCCTCGCATTTCAAGATTCCAAGATCTTGGAAACTTGGAATACGAAGAACGTATTCCATTCCAAGATTGTTCGGGTTTCAGTATGAATGCTTCGAAGTTCCCACATGCCGAGCGCAATCATGCCAGGCCATTTTGTTCTTGACAGTTTGTATCCAGTTCTTTCCCACTATTTCTTCTACGTACGTTCGCAACTTCATCGGAGGTCGCCTGAGTGGTCGTTTTCTTTCCCTCCGGTACCATACGAGAATGCACAAGGTCCATCAGTTGTCATCAAGATGCACGTCGTAGCCTGCCCACTTGCTCTGTCTCATGGCTCACACGCCACTCAATTTGTGGAGAGTTTTGTTGCTGATACGGTCACGAGGAGACATTCTGAGCATCCTTCATTCCATTGCTCTTTCCGTCACAGCCAGTACATTTTCTTTTGCCTTCATCGGTGCCCACGTTTCGCATCCATTTCACATCCATACGTCATTGCCTTCAACACTTCGCTGCTGAAGAGGCGAGCAGGGTCTTTCTGGTCTGATATTTTGAGGTTTGAGGACGTCGATGATGTCATAGAATTTGCGCCATCCGGCAGCCCCTCGTAGTATAATCTCCGATAGGAGATCATGGCGCATATTTAGTTCTTGGCCCAAGTAAGCATAATGGTTGACTTCTTCCAAGTCCGCGCCGTCTACTTGTAAACTGGCCTTGGGCATGCCATCACTTTGCATCACCTTCGTTTTCATTGTGTTGATTTTAAGACCCACTTCATTACTTCGTTCACTGAGCTTTTGCAGTATCTCCTTTATTTCTCGAGCGTCTTTTGCGATAAGTACTGTGTCGTCTGCAAACCGTGGATGATTCAGATGTTCGCCATTGATGTTCATTCCGCCCTTACAGTTCAATTTGCGCAACACTATCTCGAGGCAGGCATTAATTAGCCTGGATGATAGAGGATCGCCCTGTCTCACGCCCTTCTCGATCGGCATACGTATTGGGTTTGAGAAAGGCGTCATATCACTCGAGTATCCTGTATTCGCTTCTTTGATGATTGCGACGTAGTTTTCTTCGATTCCATCTTCCACGGAATCTTCCAGGACAGCGTTCAGTTCCATGCTGTCGAATGGCTCCTCTTAGTCGACTAAAAGGAAATATGAGGTTAATTTATACTCCCTAGCACATTAGCAGTTGGTTTAGAATGAAGAGATTGTCCGTGGTGCTATATTTACTTCGAAATCCGTGTTCTCTCAGCTGCTGATCGAGTAGCCCTGTGAGGCGGCTAGTAGATTCTCGTGAGCAGCTTGTATACATGGGAGAGCCACCAGATCGGGCGAAAATTCTTCAGGTCTTCATCGCTCTTTTTATGCAGCAGGACGGTCTTCGATTCCTTCCAACTGCTCCGGATGGTCTTCTCAGTCAGGTAGCGACTGAATCTCGCGGCGAGCCTTCCAGAGTGCGTAACCACAGATTTCTATGAGCTCAATGCTAATACCGTCGTTACCGGGAGCTCTTCCTCTTTTCATATGGAAGACTGCGTTTCTTACTTCACTCATCAGCACCGAGAGAATTTGTTTCTTGGCGGTTCGAATTTCGGGTGTTGGTACGTCGCACATGACGCAAACAGAATCGTGTAGAATTTTCTACATAGTACTTCCATAACTGTTCAGTCCGTGATTTGACATCCTCATTTTTCAGTGCCGCTGCTGTTTGATGGTATAACAGATTTCCCTTCTGCATTTTTTCAGGCTTTGTTTTCTTTGAACCGCCGTTATTCGCCTTCGATGACAGCTGTTCTTGAGATCGTCCTTCAGTTTCCTATGGAATAACCTGCAGAGAACTTTATACTTTTGATTTTATCCCGCTTAAAGGTTTTTTTTTAGCAGTTCTTTTGTCATCTCTGAGACCCTCGAGTCCAGTCGTCGAGGCCGAGCATGTTCGGTTCTTTTTGAGCACTGAAGGAGTTTCTCAATGCAGTTTTGGTAATCTTGTTCAGTGCTCGCTGTCATAATCCAGTCGATAGTTCTGACTTGCCACCCCATTTCCCCTTGTCGAGCTCCATGGGCCTTTTGCGCTGATACGACACATACAGTACCCTTCGTTCGGCATCCGGAATTATGTGTATTCCTGAACGCAGCATACTGTGATCGTTTCCCGTGTCGAACGAGGGTATTACGGAGAGATCCTTCAAAATGTGCTATGTATCGACCAAAATATAGTCGATAGCATATTTAGCAACTGCGTTTGGTGTGATCCATTTCCATTTTCGTCCCACTTTCTTCCAGAACCAGGTGTGACCGGTGAACAGTTTGTTGGCCTCTGCCATCGCTACCATTCTAAAACCACTGTTGTTTCGATCTCCTATACCAAACTGCCACTGTGCTTCTCTCCGGCTTTCTCTCTCTCGACCAAGTTTTGCGTTGAAGTCGTCCATCACTACCTTATTGGAATACTTAATGGTGACAGTTGGTTTGAGTTCCGCATAGAATTTTTCAACCTCATCGTCATCGCGAGAGACTTAAGCGATTTTGTGGGTCTTGCTTGAATCTTGCCGTAAAGGAGTACACCGACTCGCGGTGAACTGAACGGCAGGAAAGGATTCGTAGAGATTACTTTTTGTTCACGATGAACCCGATTCCACCTATGTTCCTCTGTCCTTCTCCTTTGCTCTGAAGAACCGTGTTGCCATCCCTCCAGGTCACGTTGAGTTCTGACGTTCGTGTCTCACAGACGCCGAAGACATCGCAAGACGTTCTGTTAATCTCCTGGACGTGTTCTTTCCTCGACAGCGACCTACAGCTGTAGGTGCATATCGAGAAGTCAGGTCAATTTCTTTTTCTTTTTGGTAGCCTGGTGCATCCTGAGATTCGTAGCTGCATCTCCTCCTTCGGTTGAAGGCTCACCACCGGAGGCCGGTCCCAAGGGCTCGCAGGGTACTGGGGCCAATATTCTTTTCTTCTGTTCCTGATTATTATACCTGTTAATTTACCATTCGCTGGCCCAGGCTGTCAGTGGTGCCGACCATGCATAGCCGGCCAGAGATACAGTGCTGCGTCATCCCGGCTTGCTAGGAGGTGCCAGAGCACGTGCTCTGACCTGCTTCGACGCTCTGACCGTTGCAATTGCCACACCACGATGAGGTACCTGGGTCGGGATTTTGTAGGAGGTTCTTCGCATTATTTGATATAATCTGGCGTTCAGGTAGACTACTACTTTGTTAAGCTTTTGAAAATTTTGCCGGTATTTCAGTATGAAATTTATTTAGATAGTCACGATTGGCATTGTGCACTGGCTGATGTAAAGAGATGCGGTTACTGTTAACGAGAGCGCTACAGCTATCGACTAGTTGTGGTTTTCGTCGCCGTAGTGGATGGTTAAGAAATGTGGTGTAGACATCTACTGATTAAACTAGCTGGATTTGCTTGTTGGTGAGTTCTGCGTATAATCGTTCAAAATGGTGTTTCTTATAGCCTGAAACATAGTCTAGTGTGTACTATTTTGCTCAGGGATGGGGAATTCTGCAAAGTAGATCACAGTAAAATTTGATTGGTTTTCTTTACAAACTGATGCAGATTGCTTGATTTTGATTATAAGATCTAAAGTTAAAGTTTATTCGTAGATGTCATATTATATCTGTTGTAGGAGAGATTTTCAGCGAATAAGCAGTTTTTCTTCATCGACCCCGTCTAAGCCGGAATATGATATTCATTAATTGCCGTCTATGCAACCAGCGTGGACAAATGTGTTGGGAATATGAAGAAAGAATAGGACGACAAATGAATGGATAAGAGCACAAACAAGAATTTGTGATGTTGCTCTAGTGAAGAAGTTGAGGTGACAATTCGCAGGATGTGTTGCGAGAAGATCTACCCATCGCTGGATCAGAGAAACGTTACACTCGATTTCAGGAGAGAGTAAACCGCCGTTGTGAAATCTCTAGATAGATGGCAGGATGGGCTGGAGAAGTTAGTTGGATCAAGTTAAATGAAAATGACAGATTACAGAAGTTTCCTTTTTGTTTCTATAAGGCGAGCTCTTTTTCCGACCGAATAAATAATGGCGGTTGCTTCTCAGCCACTCGTAGACTATGTTAGGTAGTCAGGACTTAGTAATATCCTACCAGATCCTCATTCGCCAACCATTTATGGGTTCACAATCACCCTTCTGAGCTACCGTAGTGGCTAAAGTCGATCAAGCCCAACCGCACTTTATCCTGCTGAGCGGCCCTTCGTTTTGATCGTTTTTTACACCTTAATGGCAGTTACGATGAGATGGTTTTAAGGTAGCAAATTGTCAATAACAGCTTATTGGCAGATTTGGCAGATTCGCCGATTCTTGACAGAAGTATATCTAGAATTTCCTACTTGCATCTCCTGGACGTGCTTTGATTCGTTGCATCTTTTATCACACCCAAATTTCCATATTTAGCGATGTGATTCCAATCGTATGACGTATGTTTTGCGTCTGTTATTTTTGCTCGATTTTTCCACTGATACCCCTCCACGTATCATGAGAAGCTACTTGCTCTTCTTCTTCATTTTCATCTTCCATCGCCGCTTCTCCTTTCGGGTCGCGGAGGCAGACGCGTCAGACAGTGCTTC